AGAGAGAGAGAGAGAGAGAGAGAGAGAGAGAGATTTGTGATGGAAGAGTTCACCAAAATACTTGTCTTATGGTTCCCAAAATCAAAAGTGTATGTTAAAACTATAGCCTTTGGAGAAAAGGTGTTGCAAGTGCATTTGGCAGGGAAGAGACCTGCAAGAATCTTTCTAATGGTGATAGATTAATAACATACCCACTTTGTGGTCCAAGAAATAATAAACGCAAGATCTCATGAACATGATCGAGTGATCAAATTGGTGTTGACATGATGTGGTGAGGCTGAAGAATTTGCTGCGATATATAACTAAGCAGATAAGCCTTACTGGCTTGTCAAAGAGTCAACTGAGCGTGTGGAATTTGGATAAGCTTGACATCTGAATTGTTTGCGTTTATTGGAAGACGCGGACACGTTTCATGGTAAGGTTGCGTGTGGGGATGCAAACTTGGACTAAGAAACGTTTGTGCTCTCCCATCAATGTAAGTTTCCAGGCAAAAGAAGCTATCTCGAACACAGATTTGACTTCGTCCATCCTAACTTGGTTGACTCGTAAATTGACGAATCGACTCGGTCAACCGACGTTATCCACACAAACACCGGCAACATTTATGACGGTGGAAGACATTGCTTTCAATTTTGAAGCGAATGTGGCGATATTTATATACACATATTAAAAAAAAAGGAAAAAAAAGGTTTTAAACACGTCAGCGCGCATCCAAATCCACCACCATCAGGGGGGGGGGCCCACATCAAGCAACAGCTCGTAGCCGTTGAAAGAAGGCGATCAAATAAAAATAAGGCCGTGACTACAGTCACCGTCCACCGTGGTTACCGCCAGCAACAGAGTGAGCACCGGTATATCGAAGCCGATGGACGCAAAGAGGTCACGTCGGCCGTCGCCTCGCCGTCACCTAACGGGAAGCGGCCATTTAGCCGTTACGGGGCAGGTCGGGGCCCACTTCGGGTGGTCGGCCGTGTCCCCTCGTTGTCCATACTCACGGGTTCCGGCCGCGAAGTACATTGAAGGATCCATTAATTTGAGGCGTCCGGTGGACGGACACGATGGTGGCATGAACAAAATCGCACGATTTCCGAGGTGCGTATTTTTCATTTTTCTTTTGTATTTTTTATTTTATTTTATTTTATTTTATTTAAACCTTGGTTGGATGACAAACCTAACTATGCCCGGTGCTGGAGATGGTGGCTGGGCCCCAGTGAGGCGGTGGGGTGTTATTAGTTGACGATGGTGCGGTGAGAAGTGACTGGGCCCCAATCAACCAAGTGGCGGAGAACAATTTGGTTTGTCATCCAACCAAGGATCAGAGCACATGGTAAAGCGGTCTCGAATCGAACTCTATCCAAACTGTCATGCGGGATCCTGTGGGCGCCTGAGCCAATGGGACAAGCGCTGCGAGTGGGGTCCCACGCCGAGACCACGAGGACTACGCACGAGTTGGGATCCGGACGCCTATAGATCGGTAGGCATTCATTACAAGTGAAGCCAACGGTT